AGTTGTAATATAATGGAGAAGACAAGAAAGTAACCCACAAAAAGGCTCTACAACAATTATGCTGTTCTTTCCTAGGGCTTTAACTTGTATGCATGTCCTTTTCCCCCACATTCTGGATTCATCTGAGAACTGACAGTTTTGCTGAACTTCAAAATAAGACTGTGTCATTCTGAAAGCTGTCTCCCCTGTTTAGCTTAGTGGGTGAAAAAAAAGCTAGTTTAAGAATACATTTAAAAAAAAATCAAATATGATGGAGTGTGGGAGTCCATTATGAGCAGTTCAGCTCTTTTGTTGAAAACATATTGAATGTCTTCCTTTCAGAGGCCATCATGCTAATTTTAATAATAAACAGCTTCAGTTGCCATGAGGTTCATAGTCAATGATTTTTTAAAAAAGGAATTAGATGTATTTAAAACTACAGCAACAGTTCTCAAACTTTGAGCAACCTGAGGACCCCCATTTTTATTTACATTTTTTCACAGTCCCCCAAGCTGCCCACTCACCCCCAGGCCCCACACCCACTTCACTCTTTCCCCCTAGCCCCGCTCCACCCCTGCCCCATCTCTTCCCTCCCCCAAGCGCACCCTGTCCTTGCTGCTCCCCCTCCTTCCCATTGCCTCCTGCATGCCGCTGAACAGCTGCTCCCCCGCATGCAGAAGGCACTGGGAGGGAGGGGAAGGAGTTGATCAGGGGTCTGCAGATCCCAGTTTGAGAAACGCTGAACGACAGTATTACTTCATATCTGGTAATCTGCAAAGAATGCTACGTTATGCAGCTTGGCTTCTTCCTGTCTCAACCCTTGTTGTCCAGGAGTGGGTCACTATCATGTAATTCTTAAAGAAGTATTACCAAAATCCTTAAATGATCATTATGGCTGTTTTTCATCAGGGTTAATATAGAAGAAAATATTAAACTGTTATCACTCAGTGACTAAAAATCTACAGGAACAGTGGATCAGTATTTTACAGGCTTTTTAAAAACCCTAATGAAACTCTGAACAAGTGCTAGGCACAAATAGCAATGCTGGCCCAATTAATATAAACTGTCCTCATTTTCCATTGTTGAAAATAATTTGTTTTATACTCTAATGCCTTTTAAATGCCAGGTGACATACAGAGATTTAAGCAAGGGAATATATTTGGATTTTAACATATTCTGATTAGAAAGCTCCATAGCTATTTCTTAACCCAGATGTCTAGGTACTGCAGAGGATTAATGAGAACTTGAGGTCCCAAAAGAATATGAAATAAATGAATCTATTGATATAGATGATTTGCATAGATTAGCAATACATGTCTCAGTTAATATTCTCTCTCCTATCCATATTGCACTTTTGAGGTATATGCAGTATGTAACCTGTATTTAAAATAACAAATGACCGCTATTATTTCCTTTCCCTCCTTTTCTAATCTGCTAACATGTCAAACTGCAACAGGAATCCTCCCCTGCAGTTGCATATTTCTTTTCTCCTGCCAGATTTTTGATTAATACACACGTTACATAGTGCTCAGACCTCTTCCCTGCCATTTCTTAAACTAGCAGGAAAGGCTGCAACTTTTCTCATAAACGGGGAATAAAACAAGGAGTATTTGGGTTCAGAAATAGTCTTTGATATATAATGGACCTGCAGTATCCAAAAGAAGCCTCACTTTCTCTGTGAGTAGAGATGGTTTACCTTTCTTTAAGTAGTATTTCTTAACTTTTTTGTCTTAAGGAAAATATTTATAATTGAAAAATGTTCAAAGGTGGGAGTGGATGTAATAGACTGATCTCTCATTGGCGAAAGGTGGGGGAATGAACTGGAGCTTATTAGGTATACTGTACACAGATGTATCCCTTAATCTAGGATTCAGAAATATGAGTCTGGGAAAATATTAGTTTCTAGTGAGCTCATTATAGATTTTTATGTATATGACTGAAATACTTATTAATTGGGTAAATTGGGATGTACAGGCATCTATCTTTTAAAAGTCCCTGCCCTGTGGGAATACCTAATTCCACTTCCATTCCTCTTTTATCTTCCCATGAAGTCTCTCCCCACCATTTCCTTGCTTGTTCCCTGTCACTTTCATGTGTCTCACAGACAGTATAGAACTCTGGCCTTTAACACATGTGCACGATCAGGGCAAAATAACTGCCGAAGGAGGACAGTGTGATGGACGCATGGGGTGCAAGACTTTGTAGGGGGTTAGAAAGAAAACGGGAGATGGAAACAGTCAACTGTTGGTGGATTGGGTGGGGGAATGTAGAAGTAGCCAGGAAGTGGGCAGATGGGGGTACAGCTGTGGTCTGTATAGAGGGAGAATTTTTAGGTTTGTAAAGAGAAAAGGAACATTTAGAGAGAATAAATAGAAGGGGGAGGAAAAGTACATAATAGACAAGGAGAGTGAATGGAAAATGGTGGAATGAAGTAAACTTGAAAGAGAAAACTATACAGTGTTTAGTTACATTTATTGTATTTTTCTGGTTAGTATCCCACTGGCAGAATGTGAGTCAGATTGCTAAATGTAATTAGGTGTGTAACCAGGTTAATTGGACAGGTATTTCTAAAAAATTGCATGCTATAGCACCTGAATTTTTCACTTTTCTGTGAGAGTCCAAATGTTTTAGTTCATCAGAACCAGTCACCATTTTGGTGATCTACATCACTTGTTTTACAAGGGGTTTGCCATCTGATAGTGCTCTGTTGGTGAATATTCTTGCCAGCTGATCTGGATGGAAAAGTAAAGAACAAACTTTAGATACCACTGTGGGAATGGGGATCAGGAGTATGTTTTTTTACATAGCTGCATCTATAGCTTTCTGCTGAGACACTGATTACCTTAGGATACCTTATTCTAATATGCATTTGGCCTTGTGTATGAAATACCCAGTATTACTGTAACCTGACTATACTCCATGGTATGTCTCACGGGATGAGACTGGACAGCTGGTGCTGGACTCCAGTGCTGCTGCTGCAGCATACCCTTTCCCCCATTTCCCTGGTGGTAAAGGGGACACTAAGGTCATGAAAGGGGATAAAATGGTGACTGTACAATCAGGGAGTCTTTGATCTGTGCTTTGCAAAAAGTGCCCGTTCCTCCAGGGATCTGCCTTTGCCTAATCCTAGACACTGCTCCTCAAGGTCCAAAGGTACAAAAGCGTGCCTCAGTTTCACACAGAGGACAGTTGCCTACATCTCCCGCAAAACACCTTCATCCAGGTCTCCTGTCTCCATTCCATACTCAGTGTCACTCCATCTCCTTCCTCAGTGGTGTGGCTAAACAAAATAGACAGTCATTGCAGCTCTACAAGACTTCAGAAGAGCTTTAGAAAAGCCACAAACTTAATTCCAACCCTTATGCAAGGCATTTCCCTGTTCTGTCTTCCTCTAATGCTGGAATAACTCACCCCATCTCTCCCAAAAATGTCTTACCTTGTTTCTAAACCCAGCTTTCCCAGGAAGCCCAACAGGTCCACTCTGATTCTGTGATGGATAAACACTCTAAGCAGCACACAGTGCTAGATGCTTTCTATAGCCTACAAGAGAGACTTGAACCCAGAATCCTCATCAGAATTTATGATGAAAGGGGCCTTTAAAGCATTTAGAGAGAGCGGAAACTACCGCTTTAGAAAGATGATTGAGCAACGGGCACACCTTACAAGCAAAAAAATATATATGCATGCACACATTGATACCCAAGACCCTACTTAACAGATTAGGATCTGCCCTTCAAAGATTTACCAGGAGCACCAAGAGTTGTGAAGTTAGAAAACCCCGAGGATGAAGAAATGCATGAGGGCAGAAGATAACCAATGGGGAATAGTCAGAAATTCCCTGATCCTCAATCTCAAAAGAGGGAAGGCTTCTCCCACAGAGGCTTTTATAGTCTTAATCTGCCTTCATGTGGTTCAAATGCTGTTCAGATCACCCGTAGTTTAATTTGTGTTCAATATAGAATACTGCATTGTCACCTTCTTATTTATCCTTCTTCCAACTTCAGTCCTCAGCTGCCTGTTAGAGAAAGTTGTTCTACTGGATTGGTTCCATTTTCTTTTGTAACACAGCTAATTAACTTTTTATAGTCACTCAAAATGAAAACATTAAGATTAGTTTTAAATACTGTATATTGAAATACCACACTCCTGCAACAGTCCTAAAATTCTACTTTCTGCTAAGAAATCTAAGCCTTTTAAACTCTCCCCAAAAAGTAAATTTAGTAAAGTATAAAAATGCAATGCTAAAAGTTATTAAACCCTGTTAAAATGTATGTCCCAAGTAGAATTCACAACCTAATGGATAAAGCAATTTGTAGTCTGAATTTTCCTATTCTGACACACTAAAAACGTACAGAATTCAGTATGGTAAGAGGATTATTTTGTGCTTCTTCCTCTTCCCCCTGTCTTCAAACCTGTAAGTTCAGAATTGCTCAATATAATTTTTAATTTTGCTCCTGTCAGAAACACTCTGGAAAGAGGAAATGGCACAAATGTACCTAATACAAAAATAAAGCTTTTAATGCCAATATTGTAAATGTGTGAAGAAGATTGTATTTGAAATAGGGTTCTCTATTTATAAATATTCAATAAAGCATCTAGATTACTTTAGCAAAGCTGCTAACTTTTTCATATCGTAAAAGAGGGAATATTTTACATCTGTTATTAATGGGTTTTGATTATCAAACCCTTTCATAGCAACCCATTATTTTGGAGAAGCTAAAGAATGTGAGGAATGAATTGCTGCTGCGATCTGGAACTTATCTGCAAAGATTTTAATCAGCTTTTTTATTGCTCCTAATTACACTGATTTTTTTCCTTTTCTTTAGTTATGATCTGCTCTTCAGTGTGAGGTTTATTATTAGTGGACTAAATAATGAACAGTTGTGCATGCATCATTGCTCATTCAGTCAAGGTTGAACTGCTATCTTTTGTACAAATCTTAAAAGTTTAGAATGTGCATAACAAAATAAGCTTAACCTAACTCTCACATCTTTTTTTTTTTTCCCCCCTCCCCTGTCCAGAAGTGGAGGAGCTGTTAGCTTCTCTTAAGTATATCCAACACACTTTGGTAGACCCCCAGAGCCAAGAGGATATCTCACTCATTTTACAACTTGTCCAAAATACTGATTTTCAGAATGCATTTAAGATACACAATGCTGTCACAGTGCACATGAACAAAGCCAGCCCTCCATATCCTCTTATCTCCAATGCACAAGAGCTAGCACAAGAGGTATGTATAGTATACATCTCAATGCTATATTTTGTAACTTGTAATTTGTATAATTAGAAATATATCCAGTTTTATCTGTGTATATCAAACTTGTCTGAGTTATTAATAATCAAAGTTGAATTAAAATGGATCTTGATATATGAATAGTCACTGATTACTGCATCCACTTTTTCCAGAATTAAGCATTACATCCAGGAATTAAATAACTTTCAATTTTGGGTTAATAGCTCAGTTTTTCATAGTAAGAAATTTAACAGCAAAAAAAAGTACAGTACTTAAGTGCAAAATATTACACCATTTAAGTGCAATGAAAGAAATGGTGCTACAGTAATAATGGGAACATTTTTCATAGCTCTTCATATCCAGTATCTGTAGATATTGTTCACTTACAATGGATTTGGCATTCTTCTGAGTTTTGAACAGTACTTCAGGGATACCCCTGAAAATGAATCGAAATGAAATCCCTGAAGGAAGTAAACTTAACCATATTTAAAGTTCTTCAACTGTTTGAATCTTTAGGTCTTTGCATCTTGGGACTAAAGATTCTGTTGTATATAACTCAGTAGTTCAGTGTTGCTTGGCCATCTGGATTGGTGATATCGTCTATGCCAGTGGTTCCCAAATGTGTTCTGCCGCTTATGCGGGGAAAGCCCCTGGCCTGCCTGGGCCACTTTGTTTACCTGCCACGTCCGCAGGTTTGGCCAATCGCGGCTCCCAGTGGCTGCGGTTTGCTGCTCCAGGCCAATGGGAGCTGCTGGAAGCAGCGGCCAGTATGTCCCTTGGCCCGCGCCACTTCCAGCAGCTCCCTTTGGCCTGGAGCAGCAAACCGCAGCCACTGGGAGCCGCGATGGCCTGCCAGGGCCTGCCAGGGGCTTTCCCCGCACAAGCAGCAGAACAAGTTTGGGAACCACTGGTCTATGCCTACCTTAACTACTGATTTAAAAGTGTCGCTTAAAATCAGACCGATTATTTTATCCTAATGGATCCCAGGTGACACAGGAGAAATGGATTTGCAGAGTTCCTATGGCTATCAGTCACCAAATAGCTTTCATTTCAAGGCATGGTCAGAAAGAGAGGCTTCCTGAAAACTCAGTTGAAAGCTGCTTAGACTCCTAATCTAGTTTAAGAATGTAGGAGAGAGTTGAATTATCCCTATGCTAAAAGCCCAGTACATAAATTTAAAAGAGGTGGTATGTATACTTGTTCCCCACTTATCCTTTAGATCTTGGGGTTACCAGGGACCAGTTCAGCCCCCAGCACTGGTTAGAGCAGGTTGTTCCCCTCCCTCACTTTCTGATCCTGTAGTGATCAGGGAATAGTCAAGACATAAAACTTTACTGGTCATATCCCTTCCCATCCCTGGAATACCCCCCAGGTGTCCCAAAAGACTCCATGACGGGGTCTTTGCCAATTCTGCGACCTCCTGTTCTGGGCAAAGGACAAAAGAAATATTGTACAAAATAAGTAAGATTGAATTTATTGTGCTTTGAGAGAATAGAATATATTACATTCATTTGTTAGAAGTCCTTGCATTTAATGAAATATTTTTGGCTGTCATTAAGGGGCCTCATTGAGCAGAAATGATTTTTGCTAACAGGATTTGTTAAAGGTCAGAACCAACAGACTGGAAAAATGCATATTTAGCCAATAAATGAATACTGCAATTGAGTGCAACAAACTTCCAATTCAAATCACACTAAAGTAATTTAAATTTTGAGAGCCATGTACCCCGGTCACCATTTTCACTGAGTCATGCCATTTAGGAACAAGTGAGCACCTGATATTTCTTTGGGATTTTTTTAAAGTGACTCTCAAACTGCACTTGAACAGGAGTCTAGTGTAATTTTTTTAGATGTTTTCTGTTTTAGAAATCATATAATCATAGAATTGTAGGACTGGAAGGGACCTTGAGAGGTCATCTAGTTCAGTCCCCTGCTAGCAGGATTTGTTAAAGGTCAGATAGACCCAGCAGACTGGAAAAATGCAGATTTTCATTCCTTCTCTTCTTCCCCCCTGTTAATGAAATTAACTACAACTTTTGGGTGTGAATCTTTCCATCTTGGCCGCAGGTGAATTACTTGCATTTTTTGAGAGTATGAGGAAGAATATAGGACATTCATATTTTTTGTTCACACATATAATTTGAACACAAACTTTAAACCATTTTAGTCATAAAGATATGGCTAGTCTTTTAGGAGCTGTTTAGTAATTTTCTTTCTCTTCCCCATCCTTTGACTTAGCTTTACAGCATGGATGCTGGTTTGATCTCCCTCCTTTAATGTCTGTGTCTTCACTGCCTGATAACTGGGTACAAGCAGCTTTAGCATCCAGGTCCCCCCCTTTCTCTGTAAGAGCCTGGGTTGTTGAGGGAAAGCTAAATATCCTTATCCATAAGCACCACCAAATAGGCCTCAGCGTCATAAGCTGTGGGAGACAGTGCTAGAAGATGAGTGGAAAACCATTTTCCAGAAGAAAGTGGAGAAGGTGCCTGACTTTGGGGATCTCTTCCAAATATTAATTGCAGGACAAATATGCCTGCAATTCCAACTAAGCAGCCACATAGAAGCCAGTATTTGTGGTGATATGCAACAGCCTGTGGATTTGTCCATAGGCAAGAAACCTGTCCTCAAATTGAGTTTCCTGTTCTTCCTTTCAAGGAATCCAGACTGTTTGTAGATATTCTTTATTCAGCCCTTAGTGCAGTTTCTGGGAAGAAAACCTCCTTTCCAGTTCTTGTTTTACTGTCCTGCAAGCCAAAACCTTTTTCCACATCCTTAATAGGAGAATCACAGAGCCCTCTTAATGCAGGAAAACTTGTGTAGGCTCACCCTTCAAAATGCCATTCTCCCACTTCCCTCCTTCCCTGTTTTAAATCCAACTTAAAACCTTTCAGGACCAAAAGAAACTGGGCAGAGCCAGTTCTGATTCTTTTTGGAGTGGGAGAAGAACATAAATATGCAACTCCATTGTTCTGGAGGTTAGGTTTTTGTATAACAGAAGGAGGTTGCAATTTATAGAGGTCTAGCTGCACAACTTCGAATTGTAGCAGCTGTGTGTGAATGTGCAGTTTTTTTATTAAAAGAAAACACGCACAGGCAAGTAAAAAAAACAAAACTTATTAATTCATTGTTAAAGTTACAAATTTTAAATGGTAAAAATCAAGAAATTGCTCTGGCACTCCGATTTCATCTGCCACGTACATATTTTGGATTACTCTTCAAGCAGTTGAATGTATATTGTAACATACAGTATAGACAATATGGGTGAACTAAAATTGCTGTACGAACTTTGTTCGTGCTTCTTCGTCCTTATTTTAAATTTGCAATCCTTAAAGAGTTGTAATGAATTATTGGCTTTATCTTTTAAAACATTTTAGAATTTTTTACATAATTGTACTGTGCTAGTTTAGCAATTCAGCTGGAGTGTTTGTGGGAGAAAATGTGTAACTGATAAGCAGTCAGCAAAAACTTGTGATTTATCTATTTTTTTTAGGCACTTTAATTTAATTAAAAGGCTGAGTAAAGCATGCAGGCTTAAGGAATTTATCTGGAGATTAACTCCCTAAACTAATTTGGTGCACTCTGACTCTTGAATAAAAATAGTGTTAAACATCAAATGTCATTACATTGGTTTAAAAGTCAGTTAAACTTGACAAAAATGGGGGCCAGGATTAGAGGAACATGATCTAAATGTTGATGCTGTAACAGCGTTTGATACAGCATTCAATACAGTTTATAATTTTTGGCATAGAAGAGCATCTAAAAGCACATTAGCAAGAACTGTCTCTCTAAACCTGGACTAGTTAAACTTAATTTGATCCTGCTTACACGGAATGAATTCTAAACGCTTCAGAGACTGAAAAGTTTTAATTTTTTTTGCAAGACCAGATGTATGTAAATAATAAAATTAGACCATTTTTAATGGGCTTAACTGAACACTTACTACTGTACTTATGTATAGGGCTCCTTGTTTGTCATGGAGGTCGCAGAAGTCAGATTCTGTGACTTTACGCTATCTTTGTGACTTCTGCGGGGGCGAGTGTGGCTGACTCCAGGGCCGCCCAAGCAGCTGTGTCTGGGACCACCTGTTCAGGTGGCCCCAGGGACAGCCACACTGGCTGCTGCTGGGGCAGCCCCAGGCAGCTGGCCCTGGGAATCATCTGAGCAGTTGTCCCAGGGTGGCTGGTGTGGCCGCTGCCATTGGCCCCCAGCAGTGGTTTCCGGGTGCCTGGAGTAGCCACTTCCCCGGGTGGCCCCTGGTGGTGGTGGTGCCCAGGCAGTGACCCCATTAAGATTTAGTTAGGCATATTTATATTATGTCCTGGACAGGTCATGGGCTGTGAATTTTTGTTTATTGCCCATGACCTGTCAGTGACTTTTACTAAAAATACCGGTAACTAAATCATAACCTTACTTAAGTAATATAAAAATGCACACATCCTATATTAAATAAGATTACATTAATATAGAAATTAATATTAAAACTGAGTTGCTGGTTCTGTTATAAATAGGGCCCTATCAAATTCATGGTCTATTTTGGTCAATTTCACAATCATAGGATTTTAAAAATTTCATTTCAGCTATTTAAATCTGAAATTTCAGTGTTGTAATTGTAGGGGTCCTGACCCAAAAAGGAGTTGGGCGGGCACAGTTTGCAAGGTTCTTGTAGGTGGGGTTGCGGTACTGCTGTCCTTTGCGCTGCTGCTGGCAACGGAGCTGCCATCAGAGCTGGGTGGCCGCAGAGTGGCTGCTCCTGTCCAGGAGTCTAGCTCTGAAGACAGAGTTGCCGCCAGCAGCAGCTCAAAAGTAAGGATGGCATGGTATGTTATTGCCACCTTTACTTCTGCGTTGCTGCCTTCAGAGCTGGGCCCTAGGTCAGCAGTCACCACTCTCTGGCCGCCCAGTTCTGAAGGCAGCAGTGGAGAAGTAAGGGTGGCATGGTGTTGTATTGCCACTCCTACCATACTTGTAGAAGTGCTGCCTTCAGAGCTGGGCATCCAG